CTGTTTTCTGTTTCTGCCGATACATAATACACATAAACTCTTAACATAAAGCACATAAACTCTTAACATAAAGCACATAAGCTCTTAACATAATACACATAAACTCTCAACATAATACACAAATTCTTACATAATACATATATACTCTTAACGTAATACACATAAACTCTTAACATAATACACATAAACAAAATTTAAAAAAAAAAAAAAAAAAAAAAAAACTGTAACGGGATTGGACAAACGGAATGTCTGTCGCGTCAACTCCCCACCAAATGTCGTTGTTTTGGGCCAAGGTGTACAGTGCATTGTGCGCCCCGGTGCACGATATAATTTGCCACAATTTCCACTTCAATTCGTTGAATGCATTCAGTGATTTCGACAACTTCTTCAGATGTTTCATCACTCTCTTATGAACTTTAAACCGTTCTTAGCTTGATGAGAGCTTTCAACACTTAATTCTTTAGACCTTCCCACGCTTTCTTTTTCAGAGCTTTCATTATTTGGCAATTCAACCTTGAAAAATAATTGAAAGTAAGTACAAAAATAAATAATTAAATTATACATGGAATTAGAAGGCGAAAAACTAATATTTTGAAATAAGGAACAAGAATTAGAGAAACCTTAGAGCTTTCCAGACTTTTTTCTTTAGAGCTTTCCACATTTTCTTCTTCAGAGTATTCTACAGTTTCCTCTTCAAAGGCTTCATTATTTGGTAATTCAACCTTGAAAAGTAATTGAAAATAAATACACAAATAAATAATTAAATTAATATGCAGAATTAGAAGGAAGAAAGCTACAGTAATATATTCAAATAATGAACAAGAATTAGATAGAAACCTTAGAGCTTTCTGTGCATTCTTCATTAGAGCTTTCTACCGTTTCTTCTTCAAAGCTTTCATTATTTGGCAATTCAACCTTGAAGAGTAATTGAAAATGAGTACACAAATAAATAATTAAATTAACACGTGGAATTAGAAGGAAGAAAACCACCCATCCGTCTCTTTTGTTTCTCTTATTTCGTTAACGAGATTTGACTAAAGTTATTTTTAATTTAATTTTTCATAATATTAAGCATAGTATTAGAATATAAAATTTATATATTTAGAAATTATATTAAAAGTATTATTAAATATAAAAAATAAATTAAAAAATAATTAAAAATTACTAAAGAAAAAATAAACAATGAACAAAGAGTCAGTTTGACCAGTAAATAGTAAACAAGACAAGCAAAAAGACAGAGGGAGTAATATTTTGAAATAATGAACAAGAATTATAAGAAAACCTTAGAGGTTCCCGTGTATTCTTCTTCAGACCTTTCTACACTTTCTTTTTCCACTGCTGGAAATCATCATATTTCGGTGGTCGGAAATGGCCTTAATCGGGAATGTACACGCAACCCACAAGATACAACCTAAACTCTACTTTCCAAGACGAAGAGACAACCACAAGACACACACGGGATCATACAAATCTCATCCTAAGTCAACGGGATACTAACTTAACCCACATGCAATAATCACGACTCATAACTCCTAAAACGGTACCCGAAATAGCAAACAAGACTCATAAATATCAAAGAGGGCACAACAGGACACGGGGAAACAACAAATGGGGTAAAACGTCACAACACGCCACCCTGTTCCAGCGGGTGTACGGCATGTGGTCAACCACCCGTCGCCACGTACCAGCGGGTGGTCAGCCACTCGCCGGCCACCCGCTGGTACGGCGAGCCTGTACTGGCGGGTGGTCAGGTGGGGGTTCGTCCCCCCACCGACCTCCCCCCCCCCCCCCCCGCTGGTACGATGGTAACTCGGCACTTTTCCCAACTCGGGAATTCCTCGATTACACTCAAAACCAAGTCCAAACATATCCCAATACACAACAACAACAAGGTGGACTTGAACTACAAGAATTAAGCCAAGAAACCAACCCAATTAAATCCCAAATACAAGTACTAATCATGCGAAGGATCAAGAATAAATACAAAATGATTCAAGATCATCAAGAACCTCAAGAACTCAATCATACCAAGCTTCAACGACAAACCCTAAACCTAGAATAACACCCGAGAATGCATAAACCCACTCAAGAGCACCAAGAACATCACAACAGCAAGATTTACAATATAAACCCTACGGACAAGCTCTAAGCATAATTAAATACAAGATCATACCAAGACCATACAGGGCCACCAAGAACATCAAGAATCCATACCACAATTTCCTAAAGACAAGCTCTAACAAGGCACAATCACAAGAACATACATACGATTATCAAAGGAGCCAATAAATAAGACATATCAAGGAAAATAGGTTTTGTAAGACATGAGTTACCTCTTAGCCTTAATCAATCCTCCCTTGGCTATTAAGATTCCTTCCCAAGATTTCCTCATGATTGATTTCCCTAGGCTTGGTGGCGGGGAATTCCTTTGGCTAGGCTTCTTCGGCAATTAGTGTATCTAGGGTTATGATAGGTGAGGGGGTCCTAATTGCTTTCTACTCCCCTATTTATTGAGTTATGAATCCTAATCAGAGTCTAGGTAGCAGAAGGTCTATTTCCTTTATTCTTATTGGGCTTGAAGTCTTTTACATGGGCAAGGGTCCACGATCCATTGTGGACCACATTAATTAATTTTGGGGATCCTAACCAGCTTAAGTCCTTTTTAATTATTTATTAACGGGATTAATTCAATAATTAATCCGGGTTTGAAGGTCGTAATCACATCATAGCTGCATGAACCTTGTCTGCCACATTGTTTACCTTTTCTCTCTCTTGGTATTATATCTTACTCCTGATCATTCTTAGTAGCAAAACAAATTCCAAAACTCTGCCCTCTTCGTCTAAAATCTTCCAAACCTCTCTGTTCAGGGTTTGCTTCTCCCTCTCTAAGAAATCAAACAGACATGGCCGATGCAATGAAAAATATGATAATCAAATTCGACAGAAATGATCATTCACCGGAGAGTGCCCTAAAATATGTGAATATTCTTCTCCAGCTAGCTATGAAGAAGAAACTGACGTTGGACCCTATTCTTCGAGATGAAATAATCGTCACGGTGATGTCAAACTATCTGGAGTTTTATGAGCACTGGTCAGATGAAGATACAAGCACCCTGATGGTGATGGCTTCTGAGGCAGATGATGACATCAGTCCAGCCACCATCGATTCACCAGAAGATGGAAATCGAGCCGGGGCATTTCTGAAATACTTCGCACAGCGGGCTTTAGATTGGGATGAGGTATCTCGACGACAGGCCGATGCTCAGCCACTGTACCTGCAGGCAGCCAAGGAAGAAACACAGAGAAGAAAAGAATTTCTTCAAAACAGGTCAAATACTTCTGATACCCCTATTGAAATTTCACCAGATAAGCATACTGAGCTTTTGTCTACTGCTGCTGAGTCTGGTATACCTTCTGTGTTGTCTGATATTAATCCCTCATGCTCTGCTCCGGGTTTTCTAGAGTCATTGTTGCCTGCTACTACAAATATATCTGCCGATCCACCCTGTTTATCTACTGTTGATATATTTGTGCCTGAAAAATCTGTTGATGTGTCTGTCTCTGATAAAGTTGCCCCAACATCTGTTGATATTGGTGGATCAATACAAGTTGTCTTGACATCTGATACTGAAATACCTGATGCTATAGTCATTGATGACCCTGAGTCCACAGTTCTAATTAAAACCTCTATTCAAATCTGTACGGTTGAAACTCCTCTTAATGAGTCTGTTGTCCACCCCCCCCCCCATCTGAATAGTCTGAGAGTACTCATCCATCTTATCCAAATGTTGTTATCCCCTTCTATACATCTTCTAGTCTGGCTGAGAATCTAGAACAAGTTCGCTATTGTGAAAACTTGTCCAGTGACTCAGTTCCTTTGCCTTACAAAGTGGTAAGACCAAGTCATGTGCTTTCGATTCCAACAAACAGTGATGATGAGAAGAAACTGGCTGAAGTGTAAGGTAATAAGGCCCCACCTTCTGAACAAAATGAGTCTCCATCAGTGGCTGAGACAGCTCACCCATACTCCACAACGTTTAAAATTAGGGAGGTCAATAAGCTTATGGCCACATTTACTGCACCTGGGTCTGAGACCAGCAATTTTGTGTCACCGAGTCCTACAAATAGTTCACCAGTCAAGGAAACACGGAAGTCCAAGAGAAAGGGGGTTCCAGAGAAGGTGGTTGTGGCTACTGGTGATGAGTTTACCGAGTCTACACAGCCGGAAAAGAAGAGAAGATCAGTTTCAACTGAGAAAGCTGAGAGTGATCCTCCTGTCAGACAGGTGTTTAAGAACTTGAGATCTTCTGTTAATGGTAAAGCTCCTGTTGTTGCTCCATCTACCAAAAGCAAGACAATGAGGCTAGCCTGTTACCAAGCCAAGGGGAAGAAGTGTCACCCCTGATTTTGTTTCTATTCCTTGTCTTAAAAGACTATATATTATGTATTCCAAGTTGCAAATGGTTTTCTTATATCTATACTATATTGTACTGAACGAGTAGTGGTGGGTTACTTAGCATTATTCGCTAACAGGTGCTACCCCTTATGTTTTACAGGTACAGAGTAGATCGTTGTGAGCGCACTAGAAGATGGATTAGTTTCGCATAGCTCCCTTTTGTTCCTTAGCTAGTTATGGAGGCCTGTGTGCCTATAGATTTGAACTTGTGAATTTGATACTACATTTTGGATGGTTAAGTACTTGTTTCCTAGCCTGTGCATCTAGCTCTTAGTTAACACTTTTTAAATTCAATGATCCAATTGCACAAAAATGGTAAGTATAGTTACCAATTTGACAGTTTTTCCTAATTTTAAAGATTTAAAAATTTAGATAAAAAACTTCCCTTAATCAAAAAATTTTGGGTTCGATTAATTTACCAATAAAATGTTTGGTTCGGTCAGTCAGGGTCCTACATGGACGCAGGTTTCATTGGCACCAAAAAGCATTTCAATATGCTGTAAAAGAATAGTGAATTGAACAGTGGACTATTACAACTTAGCCATTGGAGTAGAAAAAACATCATAACACACACAGCTGAAATTGTTTAGATCAAATGGAAACCAAAAATAATACTTTCTGTTTGTTTTCTCCCAACCAAAGAGAGATCACCATCCCACCAATCTGGATTAGACTGGACAATTAGTCCCTAAATTTATCAACATTAGCAATAAACTTACAAGCTGAAACACAAAGTGAAGTTCAAATTCAATTGCAATAACACATCAGAATAACCTTTCCTCGGGCTCTTTCTTCTTCAATGCATTCACCAGAATAACTTCTTCAGATTTTTTAGCACACTCTTATCAGCTTTCATCATTTCTTCTTCAGAACTTTCAATAATAGGCAATTCAACCTTGAAAAGTAATTGAAAATGAGTAAAAAAGCAAATAATTAATGAATACATGAAATTAGAATGCAGAGAACTAATATTTTGAAATAATGAACAAGAATTAGAGAGAAACCTTAGTTCCAACTTTACGAACAAGAAGTGGAGCCTTTCCCATTAATGTTCCACTTTTTGCAGAAGAAATCAGCATTGCAGAAGACACAAGAGAAGAATAACAACATTCTAAAACAATTAAATTCAATGTTCCAATTTTTGCAAACTTAATTGGAACTTGTTTCAATTCCCAACAATATCTTAAAACGAGGCGCTCCAAAACTGGGAAATGATTAGAACTTGCATTCCAATGTTTGAGATTTGAACATGAAATAAGAAGTGCCTTTAATTTCCGAAAGCCCTGTTTCGATGGTTCCCACGTTGGGCCACAAAAGGCGAAATCTTTTAGTTTAAGCACCTCAAGGTGCGGCAACTTGCCAATTGTGTCCATCTCCTTCCATGGAAGATAAGTATAACGAAGTGTCAACTTCTTAAGGTTTGGTGGAAAACCTGTTGGTAGATAAAAATGCTCAACTCTTCCTACTTCAAACTTCAACTTCTCAAGTCGATGTAAATACACAAGGCTCCCTAGATAGCTAGGCGCCAATTGGCCTTCAATGAAAATCCCAAGTTCCCTTAGGTTTGGAACCATTTCGAAGTTTGGATTTGCATCAGAGATAGCAACTTTCAACCAATAAAGAGTTTGTAGATCTTTTTTGACTAAGCAAGGGAGATACTGTGAACATCTCTTGTCAACATGCAAATGCCTCAATTGTGGCAAATCCAAAATATCACATGGCAGTTGCAATGGACATTTTTCCATCCATGAAGTAACTATGAAGGTTACCAATTTCTTAAGCTTGAAAAATCGAAACTCATAAAGAGAACTAATGGTACTTAAAGCCAAGTATCTCAAATGAACCAAGTCTGTTATTTCACGAGGCATTCCTCGTGACCATTTAACCAATGATAAATCCAATACTCTTAACAATTCCAAACAAGGGTATACCAACCTGCATTTTGAATGATATACATCTTTACCAAAGCAGAGTATAGAATGGATTTTATCAGGACCGCAATTCCCATAATTCGCTCGAGTGATTGGCCAATGACTTGTTTGACAGCTTAACCAATTACTAGCCTTTAGAGTATGGTTGTCATTGAAAATGCACAATGTATTCCCATCAATTGCATCTCTCACACAAACCTCGTGCACTCGATCATGAATGTTACATGACTTAACTTTGCCGTCAATACTTAGCTCAGTATTTTGAACTAGACTTCTATTAATGAGATCATGCAAGTAACTCTCTCCCATTTCTTCCAAACTCATATTGTTATGTGGCTTTATAAATTCCTCTGCAACCCATAAGTTGATTAATTTCTTAACAGGGATGTCACTGTCTTCTGGAAACACACCAAAATATTGAAAGCAATCCTTCAAATGACTTGGTAAGTACTTGTAGCTTAATGAAACTATTTTTGAAATTCTTTTGTTATTATCATATCTACCAACTCCATCCAAAGTTTGGGCAACATCTCTCCATATTTCTAGAGACCCTTTTTCTTCTGCCAAAAGTCCGGAAACTAAAACAACTACTAGGGGTAATCCACCACAACCGTGAACAATGCGTTCCCCAATTTGCACATATTTTTTGGGAACACATCGACTTTTCCCAAACACTTTCCTTGAAAATAATTCCCAACGATCCGGAAAAGTTCGATACTTCACTGGGTAGGGATTTGTACTTAAGTATTCAGGCACCTCTCTGAACCGAGTAGTTACTAAGATTCGACTTCCATTAAAATTCTCTGGAAGATATCTTTGCATGGCATCCCATGCAGCAGTGGTCCATATATCATCCAAGAAAATTAAATACTTCTGGCCCATCAAACTTGTTCTTAATTTCTTAGCTATCTGAGCCTCATCCATGTTGTAGATTTCACTAGTGATTGGTGAAATACAACGTAATAGACCAATGAGCATCTCTTTGAGGTTATGAACTTTAGACACAACTACCCATGCTCGAATTTGAAAGCTAGCAATTGTAATTGGATGTCCATAGACTCTTTTGGCTAATGTAGTTTTTCCAATGCCTCCTTCCCCAACGAGTGGAATAACTTGTAGTGTCAACTCATATTTTCGAAACTTGTCAATGTTACTATTCTTCAAAATGGTGAAAACTGATCCCATGAAGTATGAATAACAGAGTCGGTTAACTATCTTCTCTATATCACTATCAAATCCTACAATCACTTCATTGTCAATCTTTAAAGCATTTTGGTAGGTATCCCAAATTTTGATGTTCTGTTCCTCAGCCTCTAAAACAGCTCTTCCTTTCTCCTCCAGGATCCTATCTTTAACTTTCTCAATATTTCTTACTATATCTTTCAAGACATAATGAATATGTTCACAAGGCTTAACTGCAGCATTCCTTCCACAGTAATCGTACGTTGCATACATTCTAGTAACTTTATCTTGGACATCTGTATACAGTCTCTGAGCCCTGGTGTCCCCGTCATTCATTTTCATCTTACATTCCACCAAAAAGGCTTGCAGAAAATGTAGATTGTAAGACAGCAACTCAATTGTTTCACCCAGTGGCACAATCATTGATCCTCCAGCATACAAGATTGAATGTACTATGGGCTCTATAAGTTCTTGCTCCGCAGCCTCTACTCTTTTGATTAGAGCGGTTACAGCATCAAAATCCATTGAACTTCTCCTAAGTGTTTCTGGAACTCAAATCAGACTTATTAGTCTCAATTACGTACTTTACTGACCAAGAAATTAAATGGAATGCTTATAACACTAGAATTAAAAAGTATTATTTTACTAGGGACACTTAATAACCACCACTAAAGTAATAAATATTAGCAGCGATTTTAGAAAACAGTGGCTAAATTCGACACACTATTTAATCACGGGGAAACACAATCGTGGTGGTTTGTAATATTTGGTGTAGTGGGTGGCCTGGTGCATGCAATGCAAGATGGGTTAAAATCTAATCTGCTAGCTAATGAATTAATAATTATTATAGTTGCAAATTAATTATTCTGTGGACCTGAGTTCACCTTAATTTAAAAATACACAATTTATATATTGAATGTTCACAATTTATATACTGAATATTCACAATTTACATATTGAATATTCACAATTTTATATACTAAATGTTCACAATTTACATACTAAATATTCACAATTTGAATTGTAAATATTAAGTATGTAAATTGTGTGTTTTCACCGAGGTCCACCTTGCAAGGTGAACCCGGGTCCATGGCATAACTATCGTTATTATAATACCCTCGGCAAAACCATTGCATCTTCTGGCTTCTAAACTTATGTGATTCAACAAATAATGGAACCATTATAAGTTTTAAATTTGTTTTTCAATTGTTTGCACAAATTTTATTGGGAAAGTCTTGACCCAACTACCCAAGTAGGGGTGGTGAAGGAAGAAGGTTGGCTCAAATCTTGTTGGGTCAGATAGGAACAAAAGAGAAAATGATTTGAACCCAAGAACTCATGCATAGCAAGCGTGCGTTAACCCACTAGGCCACTCTATTTCCTATTTATAAAAGCGTTATTTCTTGTATTTATTCTTTATTTCGTGGGTTGGCAGCTTTACAAATTTGCCACCACCAGCCAGCGATTGGCCAGCGGCGTGGCTCATCGACAACCTCCGGCTATGGCGCCACCAACGGGTCTAGTGTGCCCTAGGGTGTGGCAGCGACGTCTCGCCGGTAGGGGCCGTAATATTGAAGGTGTATATACGCATGGCAAGGGTGGTGAAGACGTGCTAATGTAAGTAAAGGAATTGCATGGACACGTGAGTGTTGGTTATGAAGGGTGGCGTGCCAGCCTCCGGTGGCCATCGCGCCCCACGACGCGGTGAGCTTGGTGCCCCTTGCCTTTGGCGTCGGTTTGGGGCTTTGACGACTGCCAGCCGAGGCTGGCTGGGCGCGTCGGGTTTGCCCGGCTACGTCCATCCGTGTGGCGCGGCGCCACCCTGGCTGGGGGTCGTGTAGCATGGCTCCCTAGCTAGTGGTTGTGTGGCGTGGCACCCTGACTGGTGAATGTATAGCGTGGCGCCCTGGTTGATGGACGACAGAATGGAGGTAAGCAGGGAGGTAGGTAGACGTGGGACACGTGGTTAGCAGAGGCTGGCCTATCTTGGATGGCCTACACGTAGACGGTGGGGGTGAGGCGAGTAACAGTATAGAAGGAGGGGGAATGGTCTGGTTAGGACATACATTGAAATGTAAGACCTTTCTAGTTGAGTCGTTTGAGTTTTCTCTTTCTTGTCAGATTCCTAGTGGTAACATTATTATTTTTATTTAATAATTAGGGCTATAATTTGTATTATTTATTTATTATTTTGGCCGTCATTTTGGTTCGGTGTCTTGGGCTCTGTACGTATTTTTTTGGGCCTAGTGTTCCGCGTAATAATACTACTATTTTCTTACTCTCTGTTCTGTACCTCTATATCCGGTTTAAGGTGGAGTCGGTTCCGACAAAACCATCATTGGCGCAATCCGTGGGGAACGCAGTGAAAAACTTTTGTTCTTAATTTCTACTCGTTCTACCGTTTTCCTTTACGCAATTAAACACCGAAATACGCCAAAATGGCCAAGTCACAAAGCCAACGTTCCCTGGATCTGCAAAAACACCTTAGCACGCAAGTCGGGGTTCAGTCCAATTCACAAAGGTCGGTTCCCCACCCGGAGTACACGAGAAGTCTCCCTGACAACTTTGTCGTCGGAAGTAGTTGTGCCATCGGTGTGACAAATTAGGGGTACTCGGCGGTCGGACCTAATGTCCTACCTTTAACCCATGAGATCAACAATGTTATTGGCAACTAGGCGGCCTAGCAGTAGAGGGGGGTGCATCCTAGCCCCACCCAATAGCCGATCGCTGACCCGAACACTCAAGCAAATCATCATCTTACCCAACTCAGCACTCCATGAGCTCGGAGGATAGCACAATCAAGGAGGGGAGCCCAATGTAAGAGGCCCGAGTGCTACAACTATGACCAAACCGTGGGAACCCATCATTGTAAGAGTCTGAACTAGTTCACGAGGAATCATCAATGAGAGTATCGATCGTATCCCGAACATTAATGATCCGTAGACCGAGTAGCGGTCCTGGACCAAATAGCAGCACCTTGGTGGGCTTGCAAGCAGCCCGGGGAGGTATGAAAAAATATTTCTACATGGGAAACAATATCAATGTATATTTGGTTGGGCTTGCAAGCGAAGAAAGTTGCGAAAAATAAGAAATCGACGCAATAGTGGATCTGCATATAGTATAAGTGGTCCTAACACGAGTTGGAAGCTCCGCGGTCTATATAGGAGACGCGACAGTACACAAAAGCATCCAAACCGGACTCGCAAACTGGGTAGGTAGTCCATGGAGATAATAACATAATTTTCAGCTTCATTTTATACCAATTACCGTTGGGCTCAGAAAGCAAGACGAGCGGCCTAGGGAAAATTGTGACTAGATTCGCAAGCAACCCGAGAAGGTAATAAAAAAAATATTTTTATTATTTTCTTAATACTCTTCACCCCCTTTAATTTTTTTGTGCTAAGCCCGCAACGCTGGGTAGGCGGTCCAAGAGAAAAAAAAAATACAAAAGAAAAAAAAAAGTGGGTCCACTCCCACATCTCATACGGGATCGCAAGGTAGGCGGACTGTATGCATCTTCACCCGGGCCAACCGGACGCGATCCTCAACCCAGTGTGCAGATGTACACTTGGGCCTACAAGGAAAGGTATGCTGCCCAGCGTGTGCAAAAGATATATATATATATATATATATATATATATATATATATATATATATATATATAAGGTGGATCCGCTCCCACATCTCGTATAGAGATCGCAAAATAGACGAATTGTACGCATCTTCACCTAGGACAATATAATGCGATCCCCAACCCAACGTTCAGATGTTTACCTGGGTTTGAAGGGCAAGGTACGCAGCCCAACGTGCACAAAAAAAATAGTGAGTCCGCTCCCACATCTTGTACTGGGATTGCAAGGTAGGCGGACCGTATGCATCTTCACCCAGGCCAAATATGCGAACCTCAACCCGGCGTATAGATATTTACCTGGGCCTGCAGGTCAAGGTACGTACGTAACCTAGTGTTCAAAAAAAACATGGTTAACGCACTATCCCGCTTCTCAACAGTCGACATATTATCTATCATGCTTTTTCGCGCGTGACATATTATCTATCTCGCTTTTCCGCGGTTGACATATTATCTATCTCACTTCTCAACGGTCGACTGATTATCTATCCCGCTTCTTAGCAGTCGACTTATTATTATCCCGCTTCTTAGCAGTCGACTTATTATTATCCCGCTTCTCAGCGATCACTAGTATTCTTAGCTCGCTTCTTAGCGGTTGACAAATCTTATCCCGCTTCACAGTGGTCAATGAATTTAAATTTTGCAACTCAGCAGTCGATATATTCCACTCCACTGTGGACCTCTAAGTTACCCATCGAGGCATGGCGTCTCAATGAGTTGAGCCTGCCCGAGGGGAAGGTGACGAATATCTCTATCTTTTTCTTGTATGGTACATGAGAAAGCTAAGTCATCCTAACGAGCAACATGTGTGATATAGGAACCGAGTATCGAGCTATTTGAAAGAGAGGAGAACCTTTTAGACTAGGAGCCAAGAGGGCCAAGACGCGTAGAAAGTCGGAAGTGTCTATACTTTCTTTGCTCGTCAAAGATAACCAAAGAAAGTGGGAGACTTATGATGAGGGCATTAGGTCCCGGGGGCCCATTTTATTGGGAAAGTTTTGAACCAAGTGGGTGTGGTGAAGGAAGGAGGTTGACCCAAATCTTGTTGTGCAAGGAAAGCATGGTGGCTTAGAAAGGCACAAAAGAAAAACTACCAGTGGGGCAAGTCAAGGAGATATTGCACTGCCAAAAAGATTTCAACACAAGACCTCACGCATAACATGCACACTTTAACCCACCAAACCACTCTATCTCTTGTTTACCAAAGCGTTACTTCTTGTATTTATTCCATATTTCGCGATCAGGTAGCTTTACAAACCCGCCACCACCGGCCAGCAGTGTGGCCCACCGGCAACCTCCGACCATGGCGCACCCAATGAGCCTAGTGCGTGCTGTGGTGTGGCGGCAGCACCCCCAACCCCCCTACCCCTCTCCAAAAGAGGCGCAATATTTTTAAGGTGTATATGTGTGTGGCAAGGGTGGTGAAGATGTACTGATGCAAGCAGAGGAATGGCATAGACACATGAGTCTTGGTTATGAAGTGGCACATGTGTAGGTAGGGAGGGCGTCGGCAGCGGCCGACAGGCCGCTATGGGTGCCGGGTGGTGCACTAGCCTCCGACAGCTGTCTCTCCAAGAGCGCCCTGCGACGCCCCAGCAGGTGCCCGTGGCAGTTTGGGGCCTTGACGGCTGTTAGCCAAGGTGTGCCGGCGAGACGAGTGCGCCGAGCTGTGTCCTATCATGTGGCGTGGCACCTTGGTTGGTAGTAATTTAGCGTGGCACCCTGGTTGGTAGTCGTTTAGCGTGGCACCCTGGTTGGTAGTCGTTTAGCGTGGCTCCCTAGCTAGTGGTTGTGTGGCGTGGCTCCGTGGCTAGTGGTCGTGTGGCATGGCGCATTGGCTGGTAGACGACGGTATGGAGGTAAATAAGGAGGTAATAATACTACTATTTTCCTACCC